CAAAAAAAGTAATTTAATGAAAGAGAATTATCTTAAAATATAGAAGGAAATCCAGAAAGATTTGGAAGAATGGAATAAGCTGCAACTTTCTTTGATGGGAAGAATCTCTACAATAAAAATGATGATATTACCAAAATTATTATTTTCATTTCGAATTTGAGGAGGTACAGAAGTCCAAATATTTAGGAGTTACCATCACACAAAAAAAGTAATTTAATGAAAGAGAATTATCTTAAAATATAGAAGGAAATCCAGAAAGATTTGGAAGAATGGAATAAGCTGCAACTTTCTTTGATGGGAAGAATCTCTACAATAAAAATGATGATATTACCAAAATTATTATTTTCATTTCGAATCTTACCAATTCTATTAAATTATAAATATTTTAAGGACTTGGACAGTTTGACATTGAAAGTTATATGGAAGACCAAGAAACCAAGAATAAAACTTAGATTATTGCAAGACCTAAAAGAAAGAGGGGGTTCAGGACTACCGAACTGGCCATTATATTATAAGGCTTGTGCTATGACTTGAATAAAAGAATGGATAACTCTCGAAAATCAAAGATTATTGAAATTGGAGGTTCATGATCTAAAAAAGGGTTGGCATGCATATGTGTGGTACGGGAAATATAAAAAACAATCACATTTTGCAGAACATATTCTGAGGAAAGCGCTATGTTTAGTATGGCAAAAATTTCAAACGCAAACTTACAAGAAAACTCCAAATTGGTTAGCTCCTAATAGAGGCATTTACATTGAAAGTGTTGAAGCAGAAAGGAGCGTTACTCACATATAAAGAATGAATAACTAAAGAACAGAATATAAAAGATAAACAAGAACTAGAGGAACTAGGAGTGGCCACGGATTGGTGGTCCATGTTGAAATTGGAATCCAGATACAAAAAAGATAAAATCATGGGTTTCTTTGTGGGTACAGTTCAGGTGGATGAATTGTGGATACATGCTAATGAGAAAATGTACACATACTTACTGGAGTGTGACTTGGAGGATGAGAGGGTGAAGGAGATGATGGTAAAATGGGCAAGTAACCTTGGATATAGTATTGATATGGATGAATGGACAAAGATGTGGAAAGAGTGTCATAAAATGATTAAGCCAGTGAATAATAGGGAAAATATCCTCAAAAAGTTTTATAGATGGCATTATACACCTGTAAGATTGGCAAAAATATCAGAGGGTAATAGCAATGTTTGTTGGAAGTGTAAAAAAAAATCCAGGGACCTATTATCATATGTGGTGGACATGTGGCAAAGTCAAAAGATTCTGGATACGGATGTGGGAAATGGCAAAAGAAATTGTATTCTCATAGGCTTTTCACGACCAGGATCTGATGGTTGTTGTGGATTTTTCAGGCTCTTTGGCCGTGTTCTGAAGTTTGTTCTTCCTAACTTTTCGCCAGTCTCTGTGGCCGGCATCTTCAGAGGACAGGAGTAGGAACTCTGTCCGTGCTCTGTTGCAGTTTGTTGGATAATCTCCTGAAAAGGTCAAAAGCTGTTTGCGTGTTTTTGTTGTGGATGTATTGCTGTGAAAGGGGGGAGAGATGATCTGTCACTGTGATTGATGGGTGTCATTAGCTGGTCTTTTGTGTGTAGTAATCACCGGTCCTTGTGGCTGGGTAGAGTTTGTTGACCTTTTGTAGGCTGTATTTTTCAGTGCTGGGAGCCAAGCCTTGTCGAATTTTAAACTTTCTTCTTTTTTGTTGAAGCTCTGCTGGTGTTTATGGATTTCAATGGCTTCCCTATGCAGTCTAACATAATGATTGCTGGTGTTGTCCAGTACTTCAGTACAGTGGTGCCTCACATTGTGACGTTAATTTGTTCCGCAAAAATAGCTACAGAACGAAAATGTCGCAATGCGAAATAAAAAAGCCCATACAAACGCATTAAAACACGATTAATGCATTCCTATGGGCTTAAAACTCACAGTTCAGCGAAGATCCTCCATAGCGCGGCCATTTCTGGTGCCTCTTAAGCGAGGAATCCGTCCCAGAAAACAGCAGGAGGCCATGTTTTTCCCCCGGCCGCCATTTTGAAACCGCTGATCAGCTGGCCGAAAATGGTCGCTTTGCGATGATCGGTCATCGAGCCTCATGTAGCTGCTGACTCCGCCTCTCCAGTCTTCTCATAGGCTCATACAACTCAGCTCATGACTATGAATGTCATGAATGACGTGAGAGGATCGTCACTGATATTATATAATGCAAAAAAATGCTTATGTGTCTGACTGAAAATTAGTACAGTAAATGCAATCTCATCAGATTTCTGATACGTTTTCAGCAAAATCTCCCTGGACATCATCAACACCTCCCATTTCCAAAGGATTGGCAGAGTTCTCAAGACCTTTAGAATCATTATACTTTCCCACTCGCGTTATCATTATTCACTGATTATTGGCCTTTTCTGCATAAGAGTTCCAATCTTGTGCAACACAAAAGCTTCCATTTTGACAGACACTGCTGTAATATGCTATTTTATATTTTCATAGCTTAAATGTCTATTTTTTCTTCCTGAACAGCAGAAGAGGTAAATAATTTCCTAATTTTGACACACCTGATGTCTAATAAAATTGATTTTTTTGAGATGCATCATACAAATGATTTCTACAGATAAAATATGGACCACAACATTCAACAAACATCTTCCTCTTGGAATGATGTGTAAAAGCTCTGAATTAATTACCGTGTACAGCAAAACATTTTTCATGGGAAGCACCAGGTAGTATTACATTTCATTTTCATTATTCTAGTTTTAAAAGGTATCCAAATCCTCTTAGCTTCATGGGAGGATCTACAGATTTTACCAGCACATACAGCAAAGTAATCTACCTCCAGCTATGAGGAATCTCTATCAAATACAGTGGCTGAAATCCTGCTGCACAGTTTTGCAAATGACATAACTTTTGGAAGTGAACTGCCTTAAATCCTGCTGCACAGTTTTGCAAATGACATACTGTAACTTTGGAAGTGAACTGCCTTAGGTTGAGAAATCTCTGTACAGTATTAGACATTATCTGTTGCATACTAACGTCTACAGAAACAATGTCTGCGGAGATTTCTTAATATATAGCAGTTAGTGTCTAAAAGTTACACCATAACAAAACTGCACTGCAGTATTTAAGCCAGTGTGACTTACTTCCAAGTAAACTTGTGTAGTATGGTGCCACTGCACAATGCATTTCTGTCTGCTACATTCATTCTGTTCCTCCATTCCACATATACTCCATGCAGACTTCAGGACTTCAACCTCAAATCAGCCTTTTTCCCCCCTTTGACACATTCTGATTTCTATATCTTACCTGATGAATAGTTCTGGATATCTTGAAAGGCTGCTGTAATTAGGGGCATACTTCATTTATCATAAAGGTATTGCCTGACAGTGGATTTTGGAAACATTTGTAAAGATATCTCTTTTTCCTCTACCCACCTATTATGCCCCATTATGATATTTAATTTTATGTAAGTAACTTTCCCAAACGATATCTCAAAGTGCATTATGAAGTCATAACAGACTGTTCACTCCAACCTGCCCCCATATTAGAATATCAAACTAGTTCAACATGCTCTTTCTTTAGTGAAATCACGCCACCTCCCACTCCATATTTTTTTTTCAACCACTACTACTGCCTTTCATATTTGCTCTGTTTGCAGTCTTACCCGCCAAGTATGACCATTCATATCCAGTAAACAGGTGAAGCTAAGACCACAACAGAGAAAGCTGTCCAGCAGGTAGCAGATGATAGACAGAAAAGGCACCCTGCTTCTAAATCAGTGTCTGTTAAATAACCTCCCTTCTGCTCTGACTCTGAGAAGACTGTGGTACCACTGGATCACGAGAGATGCATCATCTGATGCTGTTGAAAAAGACAGATTTTCCTGCCAAGATAGATCTGACCTGAGCTGAGCTGTCCCTCACCATGAGCATATCACGTTATGATCACAGCGGCCCTAAAAAGAAGCAGGAGGCTGGGTGGACAGCCCATGGGGTGAGGGGTTGCTAAGGTTGTCTGGCATAAGTAGTATTTTAACTGGCCCCCAACGTTATCCCTTCCGCAACCCTTTCACTCTTCCATTGCAATTTTAACCCGTGATCAAGCAGGGCCGGGAAAAGTTTCAGCGGCAAACTTCGGCGTTACAACTTCTGCTAAGCTCCACAGGAAAAGCCGGCCGGGCCGCTTCACTTCTAACCGGCTAGCAAGCCGATTACGTGTCTTGTGTGTGGCTGCATTCCCATGGATATCTACGTCTCGCTCCCAGTGTTTTGCCCGGACCTAAACACACACGTCCAATGTCGTGTCTGAAAAACGGCGGGACGAGTTCGGGGATAAAACAGGACGCTCCTAGCCGAGAAACCCTTCCCAAGGAATTCCGAGTTCCCGTCGCCTCAGAGGGCGGCGGCGGCGGCCCGGCCCGGCCCGGCCTTTTGGGCTGTCAAGTTCGTGGGTGGCTTTTCCCTCCCACTTTCTTCCCCGGCCGCTGACAGGGAAGGCGAGGCCTGGGGCGGAGCTAAGGCAGAAAAAGGCCACCCGGCTCCGTTTCAGGCGGAGAGCGTGGAAAAAAAA